AGGAACAGGAGGAGGAGGAGGAGGAGGGAACAATCTGTAGACAGTTAAATGCAAACAATTCCTGGTTTCTCCCGGGATTTTTTTTTTTTTTTTTTTTGGGATGGGGGGAGATTTTTTTCCCTGCCCTTTCCAGGCTGCCGCTGGGGAGCTCAGTTAGTGCTTCTTCACAGGTTATTAAAATACAAAGGCTTAAAGTTTCCTATATAAAAATATACAAATGCAAAAATAGATATGGAGAGAGAGAGAGAGAACAGGGGGAAAAAGATTCTCCCTGCACAGCTCCTGCTTCCTTTGCTTATCCCAAAAATTCCCAAGGAAAACCTTCCCACTTCCCTCCGAGCTGCCTTAGGGATCTTAGGGGGGTCCCTAAGGAGATTCCCAAGGGATTTTTGGGGGGATTTATCCAGCTCCTGGGGTGATTCTGAGGGGGGGAAATGAGGGTAGGGAATATTTTCCAAAGGGATTTTGGCATCTCAGCAGCCACTGGGAGTGGCTGGGGGGGGGGAATGGGGAAATCTGGGAATGGGGGGGGACTGGGAATGGGGAGTCCCCAGGGATGGGATATCCTGGTAATGGGATGTCCTGGGAATGGGAAGACCCCAGGGATGGGATGTCCTGGGAATTGGGAGTCCTCACAGTGAGGAGATCCCAGAGATAGGATGACCCAGGAATGGGATGTCCTGGTAATGGGAAGACCCCAGGGATGGGATGTCCTGGGAATGGGATGTCCCAGGAATGGGGAGACCCCAGAGATGGGATGTCCTGGGAATGGGATGTCCCAGGAATGGGGAAACCCCAGGGATGGGATGTCCTGGGAATGGGCTGTCCCCAGAGTGGGGTATCCCAAGAGTGCAGTAACCCTGGGAATGGTGTTCCCCAGGAATGGGATACCCCAGGAATAAGATATCCCAGGAATAGGATGCCCCAGGAATGAGATATCCCAGGAATGGGATGCCCTTAGAGGTGGTGGTGATTACTCTCTGCATCCCAAGGACATTCCAGGGTCAACCCCAGGCAGGGAAAACTAACCTAACTGTGGAAAACAAGGCAGAACCCCCAGAGGGAAGGATGTCCCAGAATCCAGGGATCAGGGGCTGATCCCAGGGAATCCTCTGTACCCCCAACACTGCCACTGGGAATATCCCTGGTTACTCCAGGACCTTCCTCCTCCTTGGAGCTGGGATAGCTCCACATGGATCACCCCTAGGACCACCTCCCTCTCTCCATTCCCCTTCCCAACCTCTGGAATTTCAACCCAATTCCTGCTCAGCTCCACCCTCCCCCCAAAAAAAATAATAAGAAATCACTGCTTGGAAGCAATCCAAGATTTCCCCATCCAGGGGGGAAAGGGGATGGATCAGCTCCTCCAGACCCTGCAGCACCCTGAGATGATCCCCCAGCCTGGAATTTGGGGCTCCCCTCCCCATTCCCAGGCTGTTCCCAGTGGGAGGAGCAGGATATGACCCTGGGCAGGAAGAGGAGGGTGTGGGAGGCGGAAAGGATTTTGCTGGAGCTTGGAATACCAACAAGGACTTGGAATACCAACAGGAACTTGGAATACCAACAAGTTGGGTTTTTTTGCCCTGATCTCATTCCCAATCTTTTTTTTTTCCCCTCCCCATTCCAGAGGTGTCACAACCACCCCTGGAGCATCATTCCCTATCCCTGTAGTGCTTCCCCCTTGCTCCAGGTTGGATCAGTTCCGGAGGTTTTTCTATTTTCCTCCTTATTCCCTAACAATCAGCATTAAAACCAAGATTGGCTGTTGACAAAGTTCCACATTTCCCACCCCCAAAACAGATCCCAGGTGAATCCCAGTGCTCCCATGAGATCCCAGCATTCCACTCCATTCCCAGGACCAGGAATCCTAGTTGGAAAAGCCACAGATCCCAAGGCTAAGCAAAGGGGAAGGAACAAGGGGAGAAAATTCAGCAAAGTCTCCCCCAACCCCTTGGAAAGCCAAAGCATCCAAAAATCCCTGGAGGAGGGAGAGGAATTTCCTCAGGATTCTGAGGGAATACAAGAAGGGAAGGAAAACCATCCTGCTCCAGGATAAGGCATCGAAGGGACCACACTGTGGTGGCAACAACATCTTTCTCTCCTCTCTCCAACAAACACATTTTAAACTT